CCGTGTGTCAAAATGGTCGATAAAAATAAAAAAGAAAGACCGTGGAAGACTGTTAATTTCTATCTTTTTTCCATTCAACGGTGTAATGGGAGAGAGAATGAGAGGGAGATTGGCCGTCTTTCACAGTTCCGTTCTCATTATTGTCGACCACATTTTAGATACGGATCGCGCAGTCCATTCTCTACGTCTTTGGTCTAACCCCTTAAGTTTGATGCTCCCATGTAAAGGCATTTTCACCGCGCTCTTTGTCCATTAAGGCTATACGACGAATCGCAGGTTGTGCCGTGCCAAATTAGATTAGCAGAACACACAGGATTCTAATTCCCTTATTATTTAAAATGTCGTATTTAACAATATGGATTAGCTGTAGATTTTAATAAATTAGGAATATTTAAAATAATAGATTGAATATAATAAATTTTAAATAATAATAAAAATAAGAAAAATATAAAAACAAGGTCAAAATGCGGACATAAATTAGACATCCATAGTATGTTTCAAATAGAATCCAATTTCAATTTCAACAACGAACATTCCATGAATGTCCATTTTATGTCTATGGAGGTACGGACGTGAATTGGATTTAAAATAAACGTCCTTGTAATGTCCTGCACTGGGATAGTACCTTTTAATATATATTAAAATGTTACAATAATATATAATATCTACACATTAAAATAAATTTATTGAAGTAATGTAAAAATAAATTAATGGACAGTGTTAAATAGAATAAAATGAAATAAAATAAATAGTATGAATTAAGCGCAAAATACATGATAAAGTCAAATAGTAAATAGCTAATTAATAATAAAGTTATGATATTAAAATAAATATAATAAATTACCATTAAATTAAAATAAATTGAATTAATTGTTTCAATATATATTGATAAAGTGAAACATACGTATATTTCAACACAGCTTAATTAAACCAAAATAAAACAAGCAAATTTGATCAGAGTTTGATTATGATAAAATGAACTAATCGAGTGCAATCACTCCACTATTGAAACTGAGATGAGTGATTAGGAGATCGCAACTTAATTAAAATAAATAAAACTAACACAGAACAGGAGTATCGTAATTAATATAAAGTAAATTAAACTTATTAATGTCAAATTGTTTAAAATAAAATTCAAGTATCTGAAAGAAAATGAAAATTCAAAGAGTCAATTAATCTCTAGATTATATCATTAATATATTGTAAAGTAATTATAAAAAAGTCTAGTATATACGTCATTTACAGTCAGAGGCATGGAATTCGAGTCAAGGGGTAAATGCCATATTTAAATTGATTCCATTGTAATAAGTCAGCTATAATAACATAATAATAGTAGCAATATGATATTATTATAATATAATATTGTACATAACAATAATAATGATAATAGAGGAAAAGGTAGTATTATCGCAGTATAGATATAACGATCTCTCTTAATATCTCCGCTATTAGGTGGCAAATTTTAACGATTTTTTATGAAATTATTTGTTTAATAGTTTGTCGTTATATCATAACGCTAATATGCCAATCACAATAGTCAGTATTTTTTATAATACGTTATTACTTTCAAACATTTCAAAACATTATTTAGGTACATTTTATTATTTTATTACGAGGCTATAATAGTTTATAAATAGGAAGATTTTGAAAATATTTCAAATAGGTAAAATTTTACGTGCTCAGGGATAGCAAGATGGTCAAGATGAAGGTGCTTCCTCGAATTTCCATGCTTTCGATAATAACAAAATTCAATATCTTCACACTACAGATTACATTGCCATCTCCGAGAGCGCGCGAAATTCTGCATTATTTGTAATTTTTAAACTTTTCTCATTTGGAAATTATTATAGCCTTTTCGTATTAGATTTTTCATCTTAAAATGTTGCAATGAATCTGTCTTTAAAATATTTATCATCAGCTCTGGAAAACCTTGTATAATAATTGATTTTTTTCTGCTAAGAATTACTATTACTTTTTGAATTATACACTATTATATAATATATTTCTGAAAATTAGTAGATATGCGGAAATGATAGAATAAATGTACATAAGCGGGTCAGAAGCAATAGGGCTTAGCGGCCATTGGAATCTAGTAGAATCAGTCGACGCCTCGCGGTGCGTCGAACCCTTATTATGAACCAGCGGTACCGCTTGATGTAGGTTTTAAGGGGTGCGCGAGGGATCGGGATCAGAGGAAAGGGTAAATAACGTTCGAGAAACCAATATCGGTAAAGCCCCGGTTGCCTGCGAGACAAAAGTTTCCTGGTTGAGCTTGTTGGGCAAAGGCAACTTCCGCAATAGTGTTGCGGCAAAGAAGTAGGAAACAAAACGGGAGAAAGGTGGGAGGGTGAAGGAGGAAGAAAATAAGGCGCGCGTCCGTTACCCTCATCGATCATCGGTTATAACTATCCGTTCGTAAAACGTTACGTTTTCCGCGAAATGATGTTCTCTCTTACAAAGCGCTATTGTGTTCTCAGTTGAACAGCGTTTTTTAATGTTATTGCCTTGAAGGTTCGTTCGCGAGAGATTTCTTATCACGACCAACATTCCAAAAAAATGTACTTGTGTACAAATCATGCAATATAATATACAACTTTTGATTCAGATGGTAAACCGTCGTTAAATTTTTTGTACTTTTGTACATCGATCTAGAATAAATAATAAACTTTTTCATAACTTCTTTATTATTTTGAAATATCGATTATACCTCTTAAGTAACAGTTAATGCATACGTAGAAGATTAATTGTTGAGGATGCGAATTCAATGATTGAAGCTTAAAAAAGAAGAGATATGTTCGAATAAATATACGTATGTATAGATTATCCCGATTATCTTGAAATCTTGCGAATTAAGTATACCCACACGGAGCGACGCAACGATTTGCGGTCAATCAAATATTCCTTCGATGCACATCGCATATAAAAATATGAAACTGTTGGCTTCACGGAAGGTATTAAATTCATGAAATGGCTTTTTTCATCTGGATGCAGTTGGAAATCGAGTCCGTTATCAATCTCTCAGACAGGTCTCAATATTACACTCTCGTGAGTTTTGAGTGTGTAAACGTTTTAAAATGTAAGCCTTCGTATAGGATGTCAAGCTTGATCTTCAAACTTAGCGTCAATCATTGTATTGGACTTGCATGCAAGCAGTTTTGATGAAAAATCGTGCGTCAGCTTTTTGAAGTCAAATTGGTTTTGCCAAAAGTTGTATTGAATTAAAATCATTGATAGAGAAAGGGAGGGGGAGAGGGAGAAAGAGAGAGAGGGGGAGGGGGGAGAGAGAGAGAGAGATATATTACTCCGCTTTCGGCTGTACTCAATAGGCAATTATTTTCTTTACGGAAAGAATGGAGAAATAGATGTTGCAGGTTTTACGAACACATGTGAATTTTTCCAATGATCCTTTGTACCCTTGAAAAAAAAGACGAAAAAATTTGCGGAAAAATTGGAAAAATTCAGTCTTTTTCCGAGAGATCCTTTAAAACTATAAATAATATGTTGAAATTAACGTGTAGATAAAGCGAATAATTAAGGTGCGGAAATGTACGGAAACAACCTGGAAACGGTAGTAATCTAAGTACCCAACTTAATTAATAGTAGTTTTAATTTTTTTTCAAGGATATTCTTACAAACTTACCTTTTTAAAAAAGGTAAAAAAAAGCGCTAAGCATATATGCTTCTCAAATAAAACCTAAGTATCCAGCCTAATTAATAATAGTTTTAATTTTTCTCCAAGGATATTCTTATTAAAGTAAAAGGAAAAAAGGAAGGGGAAACTAAGATGCGGGTTTAAACTAAGTTTAACCTATCGTCACCGATCTCCATGAACTGAATTCTCGGATGCTGAGAATTAAAAATGTTGAAAACCGAATTAATCAAAGTGTTAGGTACCGCCGTAATTATATCGTTTACGTATCTATAATAAAAAGGTAGCGGTGATCGAATCAAAGACAAGGCTCTACTTTCCAAATTTCGTATGACCAGATCAGCAACGACGGGAGATAACGGAGAGCTCATGGGAGTGGCATAGTTTTGCTTATACATAACATTATTAAAGGTGAATAATGTGGAATTTAAAACGAATTCAACAGGTTTAATAAATTCATCTTTCGGTAAACAGCAATTCCCAGAAATATACTTTGGAAAGTATATTTCTAGGAATTGTTGTGTAAACATCAAGAGACAGACACGTGGCCTCAATCTGCACAGCCTTGGAAAGATTTCTCAAGGCCTATTTCTCAATTATAGACAGACTATAAGTATCGGAGCGTTGTTATTGTCAGCTAATCAGTGTATATTCTTCGTTACATTAATAATGTAACACTTTTAGCATATTATATATATATATATATATATATATATACAGTGAGAGCAAAAAGTATTCGTGAATGTGACAGAAACTTTTGAAACATTGAATAGAGCCAGTTGATCGCAGATTGTACATTTTCGTACGCCCGAACGTGAAACTTAAAATATAATGTCGTGGCTAAAGGAACGCATTTTGAACTGGTTTCAATTCTTGGGTTTAAGGGTCATTAAAACTGGCGAAATGCCTAAACACGTGGCAGTTATCATGGATGGTAACAGACGTTATGCAAATAAACAGAACTTGAGGAAAGCAGAGGGACACTCAAAAGGGTATGCATTTTTAAAGAGAATTTGCAGACACACTGGCTGGATGTTTATTTGCCTCATACCTTATATTTTATTTACGACAGGTTAGACAAAATGATTGAGATGTTAAACTGGTGCACGTATCTCGATATTGTAGAAGTCACAGTTTATGCATTTAGTATAGAGAACTTTAAACGTAGCAAAGAAGAAGTTGATAATCTCATGGACCTTGCCAGGCAGATGTTCAAGAGGTTGTTAGAAAACAAGTATGTGTGACATTTAGAATTTTGTAAATCAGGTATTACATCGCAACACAATATAGATTTTGTTATTACAAATTTATATAAACAATTTCCAGGAAAAAATTAAAGGACGATGGAAAATGCATTCGTGTGATTGGTAATTGGTCTCTGATACCAGAAGATATATGTAAATTAATGGCTGAAGTTATGATTATTACTAGGGAAAATAATAGAATGTTTATTAATTTTGCTATTGCTTATACATGTAAGTATAATTACAATGAACTATATTTACGTTTACACTTGATTTTATATATTACACTAAACTTGCGTTTAGGAAGTGCGCTATCAGCGCTATCGCATCATTCTATTTTATGTCATTCTCTTGTTTTATGTCTCATAAATAATTAAGATGGAATAATGCAATAGTGCTAATAGTATGCTCCCAGAACGCAGCCTAAACCGATTTAAAAAAATCATTGATATATCGGTGTACTCTCTGGACAATTAGTTTCGTGACGTATATATAAATAAATGTTTAATATTTTATATAATTTAAAAATATATATACACACACACATACACACGTGCATAACTTTATATTTTTTAATATCGTTATAGCAAGGGATGAAATTACTCATGCAATTAAGGATATAATACAAGGTGTAAAGGATGCTGATATTTTACCAGAAGATATTAATGAAGATCTGATTAGTGATTGTTTGTACACTTACAAGTCTCCAAATCCAGATTTATTAATTCGTACTTCCGGAGAAAGTAGACTTAGCGATTTCCTTATGTGGCAAGTAAGAAAACGTATTTAATTTTTGTGGTTTAAATCTATCTACTTGTAATCAAAGCAGAACTATGCATTTCAAAATTTTACCTAAATTTCTTTTAGATTTCTCATACTTGTATTTATTTTACCGAAGTATTGTGGCCTGAATTCAGTCGATGGAATTTTTTTAGTGCAATTTTTTATTATCAGAGGTGTTATCCTAATTTGCAGAAAAATATAAACAATTTGAAACCAATTATGCATAATACTAGAGTATCCATGTTTCTTGATAAGTTGTATAACAAACGTGACATGGCAATCGAAAAAATATATCAATCAGCAATTAAATCCTAGAAATAAATAATTATTTGCTGATTGATATATTTTTATATATCAATCTATTCTAGTAGATAAGTTGTAAGTTGTAGCTATTTTAGTAGATAAAATGTAATTTATACCGTTAAATGCAATAATTTTTTATTGGTTGTGTTCTCACATGTAAGATTCCATGAGATTTAATATTTATTAATAATATTGTCAAATGGATAAGTTGTGCTATCTGAATAAGTTGTGAAAAAGGATTTAATGTTACGTTAAGGGATTCATTATTAGCTATTAGCGATATTTTTTAATTATAATGTTAGTACATCAATTTTATTAGTATTGTGAGTTGCTACATTAATTTTTATTTACATCTCTCTTTGAAAGAAAGTTTTTCTTCACGAGATAATGTTGTAATTGTAAAATAATTTTGTAAGAGAGAGAATTTAATTTTGATAGAGAGAGAGAGAGAGAGAGAGAGAGAGAGAGAGAGAGAGAGAGAGAGAGAGAGAGAGAGGATGAAATTTGTTACTAAAATTATTTTCTTTCAATATTAGATATCTGTGCAAGTAAGCTTTAGAAATTAAGTTAAAATAACATTTATTTGAAATTGATTATACAGAATACTGTTATCTATTTACTTCCCTGAAGCTTTCAGTGAAGAGATTTTTACGTACTTCACAACGTTTTCCTCCCTATTTTTCTATTACGTAGAGATTGTACTTCTAGAGGTGCGTTTTAAAAAGCGACTTTCGAAATCTAAAGGCAAGCAAAATCTTTTCGTAGACTTTTTACCTCCGCGACAGTCGTGACGCACGCACATTCGTGGAATCGCTAAGGTGGTCGACGCAATGCTAGTCGTCGGTTCATCGTTTACATCCTTATTACGAGCCTCGTCTGCAGAAATTGCGCTTCGTTCGCGCCACCGATTTCTGGGTAAACTCCTGGAGGTAAACGGGACGCAAATATCACCGGCGTTTGAACGCGATTTATCGAGCCGGCTCCTTACGTACGCATCCTTCGTGCCTTCGCCATCCGCGTGTGCATGCGCATTTATGTAATACGATTACCGAAACGAGTCACGCTTTCCTTTTCGTGTCAACATGCCTGCTAAATGCATCGATGCCAGCCGTGTTTAAATAAAAACAGCGGCTGACTCTATTAAATCCGTCGCACGGTTGGTTAGAACGGAGCTATGATGGGAAATGAACGGAGGAGTAAACTTATTCATCCTTTTACCGTACATCTTTATTTATTAAGAAAAAAATCTGAATTTTTCTTTCCTAATTTTCCCATAACTTATATGCACGTGAAATGTTTAAGAATACAATTTATGGATGTTTTGTCTACTCAATATTAACTAAAAGTATCAATCAAATAATTAGCCAAAAATAGCTAATATTAGTTAATATCATTAAACAAATTTTGATGATATTAACCCGTAAATACGATCTGAAAGCAAAAACAAAACGAGAAATAGTTTGGTTTATTAATGGTATTGTGCAGCAAAATGATCATGTTTTACTGTAGTTTTACGTTAATAATTTTTAACCGTGTAAATGGATCCAAATAAATTTTTGCGCGAACATTTATTATTGTTATCTTAGTATACGTTTGAAATTTGATTTAATCTAAGTATTATTTCTTCACCAAGTTTGCAATTAACCCGGCGTGAACTAGGTCGAGTATGTCACATTCGACACATTGATTTCTTTAACATTTAAAATTGTTACTAATTTGATTATAATTTTAATAAACATAATTTTCTTATAATTCTGAATATTTTATTTGTAGTTTTTATTTAGTGGGAGATCTGTTGTGGCTTATGAGGTACTTTTAGATTGAAGTACTTTTCGATACTTTATCGCCTAGCTCACGCCGGGTTAAGTATTATAAAACGAGATTTTACATAAGAATCAAGATAAACAAAAAAATTAGATGACTTTTAAACTAATGAGACAATTGTACTTGAATTTTTCACAAATACTCAGAAGTAATAATAAAATAATGTATAATTTTAACTATTTATATGTTTCGTGATATTGTTTTGAGATGTGACAAATACATCTTTAATGAAAATCGAATTTCGGTTTTAAAAATATGGAATCAATACTGTATTCTATTATTAACTTCTAAAAGATTCAAATAATTTATGTACCGAAGAACTTTAAGAAGTTCTATTTCAGATTGTTTAATTATAATAGATTATCTAATTCCTTTTTTTCTCTATAATTTTAATATTTAACTTCATATTATATTACCAATTGTATTAAATAATTTATATAGTGAACAGAACTTTTTGAGAAAATTTATTTAAAATTATTTAAGTATATAACTCTTCTTTATAGTTTTAACATTATATTTTATATTATATTCCATAATGTATTAAATTATTTAGATAATGAAGGATTTTGAAAAAATTGTTTAAGATTGTTCAATTAACTTTTTTCTTTCTCTATACTTTTAATATTTTATTTCATATTACATTACCTACATGTCTTTATAATTGTTGCTAACGATATTTGTGTACTCTACTTATTGTGTATACTATACACAATTATAAGCTAATAGATAAATTTAAATTTTGATTTAAGAAAAAACAGTATTTTATTATATTTCTAAAAATCGTTCTTTAATTTACTTTTTGCTTTCTTTTTTTAAATAAAAATTTAACTTCCTTTATAATTAATTATTTATACAAAAACTTGACGGAACAATTTTTGAAATTTTGAATTGCGTACATTGTAACGGAAATGCGCAGCGTTATGTTGCATGTAACAGCATCGTAAGTGGCTTACTACTCGCGTTTCCGGCTTCTATAGCATTTACGAAGGAAATTCAGGGTAATCATTAACAAACATTCTCGCCCTTTGATCAGACTTCCTTATGGTGTGCGTGCGTTCACTGTGTAATTGGAATGGCCGGTGGCATGCGCTCGTATATTGACGTTCCCCATGTTGCAATATCTCGTACAATGTTACAACAAACAATTGCTTTAATTAAAATTATTATGTTGCGTTAAGTACGTCATGACAATATTGTTCAGTATTATGCTACCGTTGAACAAAATATTACAATTTTTCATTCAATTTGTGTCTGTTTGCCTTTTAGTGCGCATCGATGAAACATCTGAATCGCTTAATCGTCTCAAACGGATCGCTCTAATAATCTCAAATCATATTATATATAAATATATCACCTACACGATATCATCAAATACAAAAAAAAAACAAATACTTACGTTCACAGCTAGCACATTTCTGGGAGAAATAATCTTTGATTTTTCTCTCAATAAATATTATATTTAATAACCCTTACCGTACTAATATGGGTAACTAGTGACCGAGCGATTCCTGTTCGTGCAAATTTTTTTTGAGTCTTTCGGTAATTATAAATTATACTACATTTTATTATTTTCCAAAATAAAGAGTCAATATTTATTCTAGAAAGTTGAAAGTATGTTGGTGAATTTTTAGAGATTTTTTAAATTATTTTGAAGAGGTGAAAAAACGAAGAGATTTGAAGTGACCCTTGGTGGTATGGATGAGGCATCAAATTGTAGATGGTACGGTAAAGGTTAATTTTACGAAAATCAATTTATGTTCTTCAGAAAAAATAAAATCACGCGATAGTAATATACACTCGTAACATCGTCGCGTAGTGGAAAGCACGCTAAGGCTCGCGACGTGCCCGCGATAAATCGGAAGCGCGGTAAAATAGAAGTTTTCCAAGCGATTGAGCCCGCTCGGAAATGCACGTGGCGTATTTTTCCAACCGCCGCTACCATTTTTCCGCAAACGCGGCGGCTCGCGATGAGTTACAACCGCCATAATGCTATGCTAGTCGGCGCCGCCGACGCGGTCACGTAGAATCGCGTACGTACGTGGACCGGGTGGTTGCAACGTACACACACACACACACACACAAACACACACACGCCAAAGTCCAGGTACATATACCGTCGATACACGTTCGGCGAAGACGCTATCGAAAGATTATACTCGGAAAAGCGTGTATTAAACATCCTCGATATGTAATTATGTATTCGTGGTGCGCTCGCGTCGTTACAAACGTCGACGAGAACCGCTACAATGTCAAATCGATGTATTTCGATCTCGAGGATTGCTGAGAAATCTCGATTTGATCCTATTCAATTCTGTCCAACATTTTAGGACAGAAATAACATCAATTTTTTGCATGACAGATGAGATTAAAAAAAATATTTCATTTCAATCTAAGCTGGTAGATTAAATTCTTCAACGATTTTAAAGATTTTTGGACAGTTTTAGTGGCAAATAGAATATTAAACTTAATGTTTAATAGAATTATATATATAAATGTATTTTACGGCAAAAATCTTAGTCGTATTAGTTATATTAGTAGATACATAGTGAATTATAATTGCGAAGTAAAAAACTATTAATTCTCTTTTATCGAGATTGAAATAGAAATCAAGATTAAGTTATCAATTTAATTTAGTTAACTAGTTCAAATTAAAATACACAAAGATATCTCAATACTAAAAATAATTTGGCTATTTAAAAAACCAAGTTTATTTGAATAAAAAACAATAGCACGTTCATACATATTCATTAAAAAATCGTTACTTCTAATCTACATTCCTCATTTTTGAGACGAAAAATAAAGAGAGTTACGAGAACTTCTTAAAATATCCGTCAGTACAAATATATGTTTTACGAAAAGCTTTTCCTTTTATTTTTCAATAAGAAGAGAATCGAACTTTTAATCACACTATTACCAATATGAAACCCGATTAATCTTTTCATCACATAAATCTTAACAGATATAAAATTTTTTAGGATTGAATTTTTTTCTATAAGTATTAATGGAAATCTTTAGTTTGCCTTATTGCAAAACGCAATTAACGAGGATTACGTTCTACCCCATCGGGTCGTTCGATCCCGGCACGTTGTCGCTCGCGAGTACTTCGCTACCTACCCTATAAATTACATATGAATAAATGATCGACCGCAACTCAACGCGGCCGGAATATCCGGCAAACACACACGCACATCT